GAGAGATTTAGACTTGTCTAAGTATAAGGCAGAGTTGCTAGGATCGCGACTTAGGCAATGGAATGTACTTGAAGAAAATGTTAAAATGTCCTGTTATTCATCGCCCTGATGACGGAGGCAGCATGACCTCTGAAACGTTGGTTAACATCGACCAGACTACACAGCGCAACAACCCAGAAGACAGAAATCCTCTTACTTAATCCTTGTAGGACGTGGAAAGATTCTATCAGTAACTAAATGAGCTACACAGAGTTTCATATGCGGAGTTTGATCTCAAGAAGCTAAATTATTCACAAGTTAGAGAACGATATCAGGTCAAAATTTCAAACAGGTTTGGAGCTTTTAAAAAAATTGATAATAAAGTGCAATTAACATTGATTTAGAGTTCAATGCCTACTCTAAAAGTTTATTTCCTTAATGCCATGCGTCTACAAATTCAAATGCTGTATAGTAGCAGCAGAAATGGATGTGCAAAGTAAATCTTGTGACCATGTCCGTAATGATTACCGGACATGATCACAAGATCTAGTTTATATAGGGCATATTAATGTAAAATTCAAAACGTACATGAAGATCCATGAGGATTAAAACTGTCAACATAATGGACCAGAAGGCAGGAGAGGCACTTCAGAGTCAATCTAAAAAGTGCAAAAACATGGATTTGTATGAACACAAAGAAGTGCCAATAAATATAAAGATAACCTTCCCACTACCATAACAAAGACTTTACCTTCTGAAGCAACAGCCATAACAAATGGTATTATAGACTGACGCCGTGACAGAAATTGCTACAATCAATCAACATAATTCTTGGTGAGTTCCATGTAATTTATCAAACACTAAATAGTCCAAGAAAGTTCAAACGTAATATTAATTACCTATAATTGGAGCTGTTAAAAACTGGTCGAATTTAAAGCTCTCGATGGGTTATTGAAGTTCATGATCCTTTGGTAATTTGAAAATATTACGTATAATGACCATTATTGATACAAGCCTCAATAAACATAACCAACATATATTTTCTGCAAAACAGAGTGTAATTTGGGTTTATGAAGGACTTTACATGCACATAATTCTTACCGAATTTATTAATAATGTTACGTTCTCTAAGAATTAACATGACTGAAGAAAAAACTCAAACCAAAAAATCTAAAAAAATACGGGATTGAGACACCTAGTTAACTTTACATTTTGGCCATCGACGTTGAAATAGAGAAGTGTCTCAAGGACACATATCTCCACAAATGTAATAACGTGTCAAAATATTCCACCGATCTTGTTAAATTAAAAAACAGCTCAAGAATTCATTGAAAATGTAGCATATTCAAAATATTCAAGAACAAAATAACAAAAATAATTATGATTTTAGACCCATGAAAATATTTCAAACATGACTAAAGTTTTTCATCGCGATTCCTGAGCGATAATAGAAAGGATTCAGCCATTAATAAGCTCACACTCTAAATACTTCTGCTGTAAATTATAACTCTACAGCAACATAACAACTTGCAGGATGTATTTGAATGCAATCGCATTCGTCGTTAATTAAAACAAAAATAAATTACTCTGGCTATGACGAGGAGAAGTAATTAAATTTAATGTAAATATATCAAAAGAAAAAATATCGTATTGGTCGTCCTTTTGGGGTAAGGGAAATCCGAGTCACTGCTCCAATTTCTGCTTTTTTCTTGGGGGGGGCATGCCCCAATATCATCTGCAGTACTCAGGTCAATTTTCCGTAACAACTTCCTATAGTTCGTGCATTATATAAACACGAAATTTATGACGTTTTAAAATATTTGTAGCCTTATATACACTTCCACAGGATGATTCAATTTGAACAGAAAGTTTTATCAGTCGATCCAAATGCATACAGTGCCTACATTAACTACACTGTGTGTCTGCACGATAGGGATGCATCTTAAGTTTATCTTAGTATGGCAAATAGTAGCGCTGTCTATTTCTACCCATTTATCGGCAACATAAAGCCCTTTTACTATCTCATTTATGGACACACATAGAATATCTTATCTGACAATGTTACGAGCAAAGCCCCGATGTACATAAAGTTCCTAAATTATGGGTTTCAGCAACTCACACTTCTTTACTTCCTCAAATTTTCTCGTGTTATCTTATTAATATTTTCTTCTCCAGCAATAATTGCCCCTGTCACTTCTTGCCTAGTTAATTCAAAACAGATTATTATTGGGACTGACTATGCCAAATACTAAACATTCTGTAATTAAAGGACGATGAATTTATTCCATGGCTCACAATTATAGTCTTAAAAAACGTGTTCTCTGCAGAGAGTACTAAGAGTACGAAAGGCTTTCGTGCGCCACGTTTACAACTGCCCTCACCAAGATTATTACGAAAACAAGAAGATGGTTACTTCTCGTATGCAGGTCAGAGGTGAGCATGAATCATCTGAGGACTGACATAGCAGTGGCTAAATTTGGCGTTAATTTTGAATGAGCTGCCACCGGAATGATCCAGCAATAAATTAAAACGTGGAAACCGGGTAAACTCATCAGGCGTGTCAATGCGAAGTTTAAGCTCCTGGTCGCTGCAGAAGGCACATACTCATCACATTCCTATAAATGGTGATGGTATTTTTGGGCAAAACATGCAACGTTTTCAATTAATTCTGTCAAATCCGGCAAGATGGAACACAACCGTGGCACTTTAATGCATCCTAAAAATATCACACTCTACAGTCTTAACCAACAAGAAGTCATACGGATATATACACTGCGTGCGCCAATATATTTCACTGGGACATTATATAGGACGAAATTCTATGCGAATAAATAATCAAAGGCATTTCCTTTAAATACAGATTTTAGATATGCAATCTCCTTATTAGTTTGGCTGTAAAATCAATTCCGAAGTATTCTGAAAATAATTCTACATACTGTGAGATAAGTTTACCAGGTTAACCCTAGAGGAAAATGTAAATTTCATCCCGCGTTTCAGTATTTGTCAGACGCCTACGAACATTTGTTTAGGGCGCTAATTTACAAGCAACCTGAGAAGTGAAGCTTGAAATTTTCCACTGGAAGCACGTCAGTGCCTGTGATCCCAGATTAGGGAACCAGAGTGAAAAATTTGCAACCAACATCATGGTTCATCAGGCAGCTCAGTTGGTAGAGTTTTCACCTGGTAATCAGACGGCTACGGGTTCGATATCCTTGCATATATAAGTACATGAAATTTTTCGATTAAATTACTAACAACTGGAAGAGAAGAGGCATACAGGCTTAGATCAGAGGATAATTTTAAAATGGATGTTAAAAAACTGAAAACTCTGTGATGGATAGGTTTAGAGTGACACAGTATAGGATCCAGTGGCTGGATCTTTAAAGCACCGAAATAAACCTTAGGATTTTAAATATAGACATGAATCAGTGACCAGCTGAGCGACTATTAGCTTCTTAAGGACACCAAACTAGTGGATTACCCTACAGAAGTGTTTACAAGAAGACAGAAATACATATATTTATTTTACAGTCTATACACAAACTTATTTAAAATAATGTTGTTAAAATATTATAACATTTACAGTATAAAGTATATTATGTTATATTTATGGCGCTCCTTTATCGTAGTACGACATTACATTATTCAGCGCTTTTATTTTTGTTTTTGGACGACATGTTTCGATGTTTTATGACATCATCTTCAGGTTTATCAATCTATATTATTTTAAAAACTATTATACATTTTGATGCATTGCATTTATTGATCTTTT